CTGTTAATTGAACTGAACACAATTAATCCTTACCTAATATAGGCAGACTAGATATCATGAAAATTCCTCCATTACAAAACACTTAGAAATGCTGGGTAAAATGTAGCAAAAAAAAAAAAAAAATCAATGCATACATGAGCTTACAAAAGAAAGAGAAATACCCAGGTGGCAGAAGTAAAGAAGAAATTGGACACCACAGCCTTGAGTACACAATATGATCCTATGTTGAGTGGGGACAGGATTGGATGAGGAAGGTGCTTAAATGTTTAAACCCATATGGTAATGAATAGATAAAGAAAATGTGGTATATCACATTGCTACACAAAAATATCAGAAACTTTTCTTTGGGGCCACAGTGTTTTATTACGAAAATAGGATAAAAACTTGGAGTGTAATTTAAAGGTAAATATAAATAGAAAAATTAAATGTATTGATTTCTATTCATTTATATCCATGTTTTTAGAATGAAATTGTCAATATTAATTGCAACAATAAGAACATCAACAAGTAAGATTTTATATATGCTTCACATGGCCCCAGGGTCAAAACTAGAGTGAGTTAAATAAATACAACTCTCACAGTAGTTAATGTGTTAAATACACAATAGAATACTATTCAGTCTCAAAAAAGAAAGGCCAGGTGTGGTGAGCACCTGTAGGCCTAGCTACTCGGGAGTCTGAGGCAGCTAGATCCCTTGAGCCCAGGAGTTCAAATCCAGCCTAGACAACATAGTGAAAAGAAAAAAGAAGGAGGAGGAAATCCTGTTATTTGTGACAACATGAATGAACCTGGAGTACATTATGTTAAGTAAACTAAGCCAGACACAGAAAGAAAAATGCCAGATAGTCCCACTTTTATGTGGAATTTAAAAGATTGAACACACAGAAGCAAAGAGTAGAATGGTAGTTAACAGGGGTGGGGATAAGTGGGAGTGGAGGGATGGGTGATGTTGGTCAAAGGTTACAAAATTTTGGTTAAACAGGAAGAATAAGTTCAAGAGATCTATTGTATAACCGATAACAACATATTGTATTCTTGAAAATTGCTAAGAGAGTACATTTTAAGTATTCTCACCACAAAAATGATAAGTATGTGAGGTAACCCATATGTTAATTAGCTCAATTTAGCCCTTCTACAATGTATATATCTTCCAAAACATCATGTTGTACACAATACAGTATATACAATTTTTTTATCAATTTAAAATAATTATTCTTTTTAAAAACACATGGTAAACAGATAAAACCTTGGGCCCTTGGTGCAAGCAGAAATCAGTAATTATGAGTGCCTTTTCTCATTTCATGCCCTCATACACACTCATAAATTAGAAACCCATGAAGTTCTGTACCTCAATGAAAGTGTAGATAGACTAGATAAAACCCACCCCGTGGAACAATGAGATGACAAAGAAGCTTTTCTGTCATCGCATAATCTCTAAAAGAGGAGAAAGAATTTTTCCCTTGAGAACTTATATCACGGCTTGTACTTCCACTGATTTGGTTTTGCAAGAAAGAAATTCATGTAAAAATTGCTCACTGGCCAATGATTACCTTGGATCTCTGACAAAAGAAATATTTTTTTAAGATCACTAAAAATGAGTCCATTTTTTTAAAAAAGGCTATGAGGTATAAGACACAAAAGGAAACAATCCACAAAGAATGTGTCAGAAGATACAACAAACAAAAGAATTAGACCTTTAATTGCAAAAGGATACATCTATATGATACCATTACCCAGTTTAAAAATGTCATAGAGTAGTATCACTTAAAGACATATATAAATTCAATGATATTACAAAAATGTAATAGAAATTAATCATACCAACTTAAGAAGAGTTGTTAACTCTAAAGAAGAAAGGACAAGGGACAGTGTCAAGAAAAGCCTGAAGAACTATTTCAGATTGAAGGAGGATCGAGCAACATGCCAAGTGGGTGCAACATGTGATCTTGACTTGGATGCTTTTGCTATAAAGACAATATTGGAGTAACTGGCAAAGCCTGAGTGAGGTTTCTAGGCAAAGGGTATACAGAAGTTTTTGTGCTGTCCTTGCAACTTTTTTTTTTTTTTAGTTTGAAGTTGTTTCAAGTTAAAAATTTTTTAAAGAAGAGGATAAAGATGAGAAACATTTCAGAGGAAAAAAAATACCAAGACTAGATCAATTGGAGGTTGGAAATAAGAGGAACAAAGTGAACTCAGATTTCTGGCTTAGGTGATTTGGAGCATATGATTCAATTTACCAATGGAGGAAACCCAAGAAGAGGAACAACTTCAGGAAAAGCAAACTACAATAGACTCACAGATAGTTGGAAATTTAGGTTGGGGTGGGTGATATCACAAAAGAGCCTAAAACTGTATGCATCTTGATTTGATTACTTTATTCATTTAACAAATTATTTGAGAATCTACTATGTTGCCAGGCATGTACACCATGATAATATAAAAATATGTAGGAAGTGGTTGCGGCCCTTGGGGTTCACATCTGGTAAGAAAAATGGAATCCATCTGTAGACAAAGGGTAGAACAAATTCTAGAGGATGATAGGTTCATTTTCAACCTTGGTCACACATTAGAATCACCTAAGGGAACTTCTAAACATCCCAATGCCCAGTACACACTCTGGAGGGTGATGCAGGCATCAGCGGTTGCTTAAATTCTCCAGATAATGCCAATGTTCAGCCAAGATGAAGAGAGAAGTGGCTCTACTCAGAACACCTGAACACCTCTGCCTTTGAACATTTGGTAATAATGGGGGAAGGAGTGTGGAGAGTATAGGATATGGAAATAAGGGAATTTTGTTGAAGATGTTCCTGCCAAATAGCGTGATGATTTATATTTCCTCTGTAAAGAAAAATTATCAATGCCTGAGAATAAAGGTATATGAGAATAAGGTAGGCATCTTAAGGAGTGGCAAGCAGGATTACAGCTGTAGAGAACTCATAAGGAAGAAATGTTTTCTAAGTCTGACAAGAAACACTTGAGGAAAAGGATCCAGGGTTCTTTCCCCTAATGGTGGACAAGGTTATATCCTTTTTAGAGATGGGCCTAAGTTATAGCAAATACATCTATCTTAAAGACAGAGATCTGGAGAGAGGGCAAGTGCTTTTCCACATAAAGTACTAACATAGACATTAAATGGGATAGGAAGATCACATGCTTCCTTTTCCATATTTCTGGAAAAATAAGTTGAAATGAAAGCAATATGGAGTATTTCAAAGCTGAGAGATTTCATTATATTGGAATTACCATAGAAAGAGGTGACTGTTTCTATCACCACAACAAAGAATAAAAACACAAATATTTATGTTATCTGTTTGTCCTTATAACGCTTTCACTGCACTCATCTTTCAAGCTTTAACAACAGCTATTGCATCTGTGACTGCTGTTATAGTCAAATACTGAAACCTGAATGTGAGCTCATTTCATTGCCTGCTGGCCCTTCATTTTCCCAGCCCTATTGTAAGGGCAAAGCCACACACAAAAATATTCTTATTCTTGAAATATCAACGTGTCTCTTTCTATGCTTGTACCTGTCATAACTTCATTCAAGCATAGGCTGTACCCTGAAGGCTTCTTAACCTGAAGTTACTTGAATGACAGGTTTTTTAATAGATTTCACATCATATTCTAATAGTATTAAAATTAGTCAAGCTGAATTGTTAAGGGCTTTCCTATCTCACTCACCATCTTATACTTCTTTGTGTCCTCCACCTGGCACTTTGTGTGCTCAGCACTGCGCTCTGTAGGCACCTACTATTGATCTGTAATCCAGCCCGCGACTGCTGCCTTAAAGTAGTCACAAAGTCCTTGCAGCAGCAAATAGTCACAGAGCTTCTGGTGGGAGTGAAGTCCCCAAAGGTTGTCAAGTAACCTGACTGACCTTGAGGGCAGGACAATGTCTTATTCAGCATGCTATCTCCAGCACCTGAATCAGCGCCTGGCACACAGTAGGTACTCAACTATGTGGAATGAATGAATAGGCTCGGTGGGAACAATAAATTCAACATTGTTCTGCAAACGTTCCCTGATTGACCCGCATGCCTTAGAGACCAGCGTGGCACGCCACAAGATGACGAGGGCCTGTTGGTTCTAATTTCATAGACATTGTAATTCTATGCTGTTAACTTCCATATTTCCTCTTAAAACAAAAAAGGGAATTTGTGTTGTCTCCGCTCTGGATTCTCAGAGGTTAACCGCAAACGTGCCACGACGCTGCGACCTTGCGACCCTGCGGCGGCGCGGCGCGCCCCTCGCCGCACTCTCGACTGGAGCCGGGCGGAGCTCCCGACGCGCCCCGGGGCTGGGCCGCCGCAGTCCTCAGGGGGGCGCTGTTCCCGCGATAACCTCCATAAAGGCTCCGCCCCGCGGCCGGCGCTCGCTTCCGCCGTGGGGGGCCCGGCTCCACATCGCTGGGTCGTCGGGCCGAGTGGGTCTCCGACTCGCCCGCCGCGGCCGGCGTCGACACTAGCCGCCGCACTCCAGGCCCGCCGGATTCAGCTTCTGGGCCGCCGCCGCCGCCTGGGCGCGGCCTGCTGTGGGGCCCTCCTCCTCTTCCCTCGCCCCACCTCATCCTCCCCCCTCAGGGAAACGACAGCTGAGGCGGCGGGGCTGGCGGCGCCTCCCTCCACCTACCACGTCTGCCCCCGGCGCCCCAGTGCTGCCGTGGTGCCTCCTCCTCCCGGCTAGATCAGCCGGCGGCTCCGCCCGGCTGCCGCCCAGGATGAACATCATGGACTTCAATGTGAAGAAGCTGGCGGCCGACGCAGGCACCTTCCTCAGCCGTGCCGTGCAGGTACCGCGGTGGGGGAAAGGGGTGGCGGCGCCCAGCGAGAGCCAGCGAGGGGCTGCCCAGCCCGAGGAGGCGGCGCCCCCCGCACCCCGGCCTCGCAGAGCGCCCGGCGGGCCTGCTGCAGCCGGAGGCCTGGGCGATGGGCGCGGCCCGGTGCCCCTCCGGGCCGGCGGCGGTTTTCTGCCCTGCTCCTGGCCAACCGCCGCTCCCCGGGAAGCGGGGCGGGGTGGGGACGGGGCCAGGAGCTTTCTTCCGCTGGAGGACACCTTGAGTACGCCCTCGGCCCGACGTGCTGTACTGTCGGCTTTTCTGGTTCCACGACGCCAGGGCCGGTGTGACCTCCATCGCGGGGCTGGCGGAGGCCTTAGGAGTCCGGCTGGGTAACCGAAACACAAGCCATTCTTGCACCACCCCCACCCTTTCCTTTCGTGTCTCTCACCCTCCCCTCCGAGTCACTCCAAGAAGGAAGTTTCCTTTTCCTGCCCCTCAACCCAGTGAGCTGCAGATACAGTTCCCTCCAGCCCCCTCTCTCCCTGAAAGGGCTGCCCCTGGGCTTGGCAGCCCCTGGGGGAAATGGGGATCGTCGGTTGGCGTTCATATTTTACCAAGGCCACTGGAACCCTGGAGTTGGGTGTTCTCATTTTCAAAATGAGAAGCACCAGCTGTAGAGCAAGGAGAGATGGGAGAAAAATCATGTTGTTATGGCTGTAGTCACAGTGGTATATTTCAAACACACTTGAAGGGGAAAAGTTGACTACCTCTTCGTATTCTGCAATCAAGGAAGTGTCAGTAGTAGGGAACTTGGACAGTTTCCTACAGTCATCACCCACATTATGCCAACTCAGTTAAATCTATGAACAGATGTAAATTTCACAACATGGGTTGTAAACAGTCTGGTGTTTAAGTTAATGACAGTCACAGTAGCAACATTTTCTTGTAAAGAGAAAACAAAAATTATTTCCTAATATGCATACCAAATTTGTACTGAAGTGTACCAACTTTCCTTGTCTCCTTTGCCCCAATTTTATTGGCACAGTTGATCACTATCCTTGGCAAAAGAATGATAGAGTTAGAGCAAGGTAATAGCTGCCTACATTGTGAAAAAACTGTATGTCAAGCACTTTGTTACGCATTTAACATGTTCTCTTTAGTCCTTTCCATAACTTTGACAGATAGATATTAACCCCCCTTTAATATGAGGAAGCAGCCTCAGAGTTTAGTAACTTGATTAACTTGCGCGGCTAGTAAATAACCAGGTGCTGTCTGACCTACTGCAAGCTGCTTTTTCTTCCTGGATAAGCATTGCAGGTTTAAGATATATAGAATAATAGAATGTTGTAACCCAGAGAGATCTTAAAGATTATCTGGTACAATATGAGCATTTCAATATCAGCCGCAAATAACACTTGAGAAATGGGAAATTCCTTCTAGCTTTTGATTTCCAAGGTCTAAAATCTGAATGGTGAGTAATAAGCTAGCTGCCTTAACCCTTTTCTCCCCCTCCTCACCTAAAATATAAGGTATATTGCAAAGACATTGAACCTTTACAGCTAAAATAATTTTTTGATTCAAATTAGCCTACTTCTAATAGTCCAAACACAAGGTGCAAGAAGAATCAGTAATTGAGGGTCTGAAATGAATTTTGATTTGTGAGACACTTCGTTTAGACTTAACATTGACTATAATAGAGGATTAGAGCCTCTGGTATTTTTGTTTTAGTAATGATTATATATAATTCTAGATGCTTATTGCAGACTTGACATTATATAAACCCACTGTTTTAACTACAGTTAGATATTTTTCAGGTACATTACCCACACTGCTTAAATAGGACTTGTTTACTAGAATTTAACCTGATTTAAATTGTTGATAGACTTCATTTAAAAAACTAAATCTAGCAAAGCCCTCAAAAGGTGTACTTCCCAAATGAATTTTAATCACTTACTGTTTCAGGTTCTTTAGGAAAAAGTTTTTAAATTCTATCCTAATCCATTAGCTATCAAATAATTTTCTTTTCAGCCTTAAATATTTAAGTGTGCACTCTAGGTCTGCCTATCAATATTCTGGACACTAGTGATACTACAGTGAATAAAATCAATAAAGTATCTGCCCTCTTAGACCTTATATTCTCGCAAAAAACAGGGTTGTAAATACATCAGGTAGTTATGGAAAAACTGACCAGAGGAATAGAGTAATGGCAGGGATGGTGGTTGTTGCCATGTTGTTTAGATAAGATGGTTAGGGCAAGTCTTCATAGGATGAAATTCAAAAAGACCTTAAGGAAGTGACAGAACCCCAGTTTGTTTGTGTGTGTTTATTCTTTTTGAAGAAAAGCATTGTAGGCAGAGGGAACAAGTACCAAAAGGTTACAGGGCTGCTAGGGAGACCAGTTAGCAAGATATGGCCATGGCTCAGCAAAAGGCGATTGTGATTTAGATGACAGTGGTAGCAGGGGAGGTTCAAAATCTATATGGGATTGACTGTCAGATTGGCTCTGAGGTGTGAGAGAAAGATGATTCAAGATTAACTCCAAGGTTTTAGCTTGAGCCATTTATTAAGAAAGGAAAAATTTCAGGAGAAACAGGCTGTTTAATGTGTCTATTAATGAATAAATTTACACTATGTCTGAGATTTGCTTTAAAATATTTCAGAAGAAAAAACGGGAAGTAGTTGAAATAAGATTAGCAGAATGCTGATAGTTGTTGAAGCTAAGTTATGGGTCCATGAGGTTTTATTATATATTTTTCATTATACTGTTATATTTTTGTATATATTTGATATTTTCCACAATACTTCTTAAAAAATAAAATTTATAAGAAAGATGTTTCTAAAATATAATGTGTGAAATCTGGAATGCTGTGTGGTAATTTTCAACAAAACACTTTTATCATTTTAGTATCTAAGTTTCTACACTAAATTAGCTTGACATCAGTATAATGCCAAAGTACTAAGTTTCATGCTAAGAATAGCTTAAGAGCTATGCTGGGATCTCTTTACAAGCAATAAGAACAGTAGGGAGGAAATTAAGCTTTTATGTTTCATATAAATAATAATTTTCATTCAAATCAAATTGTACCTTAAGGAATAGGCCATTCTTTAGTTGGCCAGCTGCCATATGTTTTTCACTTTCTTAAAAAAAATTTTAAGTTAAAAATTGAACATGTTTCTTATTTTTAAAAGGTTAGATCAAACCATTAAAGCAAATAAAAGGGTCTCATCACCGCTCCATTCTCCCCTTTTAAAATTTGTTTATAGGCGGGGCAGGGTGGCTCACACCTGTAATTCTAGCACTCTGGGAGGCTGAGGCCAGAGGATCACTCAAGGTCAGGAGTTCAAAACCAGCCTGAGCAAGAGCAAGGCCCCATCTCTACTAAAAATAGAAAGAAATTAATTGACCAACTAAAAATATATATAGAAAAATTTAGACAGGCATGGTGGTGCATGCCTGTAGTCCCAGCTACTTGGGAGGCTGAAGCAGAAGGATTGCTGAGCCCAGGAGTTTGAGGTTGCTGTGAGCTAGGCTGAAGGCACAGCTCTCTAGCCTGGGCAACAGAGTGAGACTCTGTCTCAAAAAAAGAAAAAAAAATTTTGTTTATAAACTTTGGTATCTTAAAAAAAGAATGTAAGGTTGAATATATAAATGAGTAGAAATATTTATTAACTAGTCCATTTGGGTGCTTATTTTTAGCTACTTCAAGACAATAGAATATAAAAGTATCAGGTAATTTACCCTTAAATTGATATATTACTGGTGTTTTAAAAGCTATTTATAAGTTCTTAGAATCATTCTTTTCAGTTCAAACTCCATAGGTGAGCATCAAATACTCCCTTACAATCTGGTCTTTTCCCTCATATAAACACTGTATTCAATCAAGTTATTTTTTAAATTTCAAAATATCTTATACTTTTCTGACTCCAGGCTTTTGTTCACACAGTTAACCTCTGCTGAGTGTCCTCCATTCCCTCTCTGGCTTTTCTTTCCTTCCCTCAAGGTAAAACTTTAAGTCAACTTAGGCCAGTCATGGTGCGTGTGCCTACAGTCCCAGCTACTTGGGAGGCTGAGGCGGGGGATCGCTTGAGCCCAGGAGTTTGAGGTTGCTGTGAGCTAGGCTGACACCACGGCACTCTAGCCCAGGTAACAGAGGAGACTCTGTCAAAAAAAAAAAAAAAATTAACAACTTAAACAATAAAAGTCAGAATGTAATTAAGTCATGGAAAATCAAACACAATGTTCTCTAAAATGAATTTGATATACAATTTTTCATAATATTTCATTTGTAATAGTAAAATAGCATGAGAACATAAAAAAAATCCACAGAGAATAGTGGGGGACAGATGAGAACCACTGTTCTAAACTCATACATTAATTAGCTATATGAAATTTATAACTGTTCCTCTAGTTTCCTTCTTATATGTACTCTGTAATTGTCATTTCTGCTTTAGGGTGCCCATTTAGTTGCCAATTTCCTGGTTTGCCCATCTCTGTGTAAACACGTCATTTCACTGGCTGAAGGTTTTGCTTCAAATATATCTAATTGTGGTTAAGTTCTATCAATTAAATTTGTTGTTTTCAATAAAGGAAAAGAGAAGCATTTTAAGTGAATCTGACTGATCTATCCATCTTAATATAAGAGTCCATTAGTAATTAGGAAGCTACATAACCCAATTATTAGGCTATGCCAGTTAGGCCTAAAGAAAGAGTATTAGGACCCATTGTATGTTAGGTCCTAAATCTAAGCTACGTTGAATACATTTAAGAAATAGGAATGAATTTGAAACAGCTCCTTGCAGATTTTCCCTATCTTTTACTTACAGGAGAAGGCGCATAGCCTACCAATGAATGAAACAAGAACCTGGACTAAATATAACTGTTTAGAAAGAAAAAAAGACCTCAAGTAAAAAGGCTGTGTGATCAAAGAGATTATTTAAATTTTATACTATCATTATATGGCAGATTACCATAAAAAGTAATATTCATTTAACATCCAGTTAATAAACGTATCTTCTATCTAGTTTACTAATTAATGTCAATAGCTCATAAGGTTGTGAAAACAGTTTTTAACACTAAAACATGCTAGAGTTCATTACATAGATGAAAAAATATATGGATTTCTTTTGAATGTAGGACATGTTTCTTTATTAATTGAAGGGGACAGCCTGGGTGAAGTTATCAGTTTAAATCATATATAAGAAATAGATTTCAGAGGGCGGTTCTAACGAAAGTGTGAGTTATTGGCCTGATTATGGAACTCCACCAACAGACAATGGAAAGTAAGAACAAGAAGCGTAGCCTGACTGGTATAGCAGTCATATTCTCTTTACCCAGCAATCCTCCTAGCTTAGACCCACACCCATTACTCTTGCCCTGAAATAGATGGTG